GGTGGCGCGACGAGAGGAAGGCAAGGAGCGAGGAGGAGGAGGAGGAGAGGGAGGAACGAAGGACCATACGTGGAGGATCTGCGCTGTAGATCGTATTTCGAGGGCAGGACACGCTCGAAACCTGGCGGAACGAAACCACGTGCTTCCTCGGTTCGGCGCGCGTTTAGGAGAGGATGCAGAGGAGCGGGTGGAGCGGGTAGCGTGACTACGGTGGCGAGGTTATCGTTGGAGGAGGAGGAGGAGGAGGAGGATGTTGGAGGAGAGGTATGCCCAGAGTTCATCGTTCTGCCAACCGGATCCGAAATTTACAATGTTTATGTTAAATATTTTTTTGTCCGTATTTCTTTTTTTTTTTTTTTTNCTCTTTTTTTTTTTTTTTTTCAAATCCTTTCGATACGCTTCGAAGTTACTTACTGGGGAAATAAGATAACGGTTAAGAAGAAGATTGGTTTGAGAAAGGTATACATCTCGGAAATAAAATAATACTTTTCCCCCCACCCTTTGCTCAAGGTGTTTCATAATTACTTTCGAGGAATAAGTAATGGATAAGCAGATGGAGATCGTTTGTCTAAATAATATTTTATTCGTTTTTTTTTTTTTTTTTTAACGTCTCTTTTGGTGCGTTTCGAAGTTCCGAGGAAATGAATAATGGTTAAGGAGAAGAGTGATCGTTCGAGGAAGGTGTCTTTAATTAAAACAGTAATGTCGCGGTTAACGTTGGTTGAAATGGCTGTAGCTGGAACAACGATGCTACTAACGAAGCTGTTACGCTTCGAGTGTTTCTCCACACCGAGAGAGTTAGTTACGAAACCCCGGACGGGGATCTGGAGATAGAGATTTTCTCTTCGCGAAATTTTGCAATATCGTACGAATACAACGTAGATTTCACTATTATTATTATTACCATCCCGTGCAATCCCGTATATTATTTTAAAAATAAATGAAGATATAATTCAAATATCACAAATGAATCCATTGCCCTCTCCAAATCTTTTTCCACCGATTTTATCATTACTTTGTTCAAATATTATTTATTACAATAACTATATACACACAATCCCTGAAACAATCTCAAACATACATTTTCTTCATAACATATTCTCTCTCCACTCGATTATACATTTTCCGACTACGAAGTCGTCTTCAACGCGACGCGAGAATTCACTTTCGAGATGCATTCGAGGAACAATAGAGAAATTCTTAACGACCCAACTTCCTCCTCGCTTAGATTACACAACGGAATCAACTTCCCCGATAATTATTATATTCCATCTTGTTACGAGACCGAGGTGTTTCCCGAGGAGTGGCGGTTTTATACGACGGAAGCTGATTCCTTCCTTATCCTTCCTTATCCCAAGCTCGAGAGAGAGAGAGAGAAAACGGAACAAGGGATTCTTTGTGGAGATCGAGGAGGCATGAGCGTCGGGCTAATCCTTCGTCCTCCTCAGGTGAAACTCGCTTTCGGCGACGAGGTCCGTTTCCCACGGTACGCCAGGTAACCCGGAGCGTTTTCCCCGTAATGTGGGTCTCCACGATACATCTCTCCCATCCCCTTGCCTTACCCACTTCCCGCTCCCTCCGCTCTCCTTCTTCATCCCTCTTTTCTCTCTCTCTCTCTCTCTCTCTCTCTCTCTCTCTCTCTCTCTCTTTCTCCCTCTCTACACTCATTCCTCGATCCTCCTCCTCCTCCCATCCGACATTCTTATCTTTCCGCTTCGGGATCTTATGGTTCTTATGCTGCTTGTGGCGATGGGATTCGAAACGCTTGGAATATAGGGTGTTAATAGATTCGAAGGGTTGGTTCGAAGATAAACGTAAAGTTTGGTACACAAAAGTGTCGGTTCAAGTTTACGTTGGATAGACGGGGATGCGAGGGAAGTAGAGACTCTGTCTTAATTTAAATTGCTCACAAGTAAGCTCGAAGCTATTGATATTTTTGTGTTTGTTTTTACCTGAAATCGACTCTCTAAAACACTCTGTATGCATCATATATACGTGTATATGTGTAACGAAAAATTCGAATTATTTTGAAAATAATTCAAAAGTTTTTGAAGAGAAGTAAGAAGAGAGGTGTTGGATGAAATCAATCACGAGCACGTTCATTTCATTTTCATATCGAAACTATGGAAAAAGTTACTTAGAATTATTTCTAGATAAAATTAAAAAGAATGGAATCTCTCTTTTTTTTACAAAAAATTACAATTGATTTTCCGGAAAGAAATAATCGTAATTTTTTCGCTACAGGAAGTACAGTTCTAGGTATGCCACGAAGAAAGAAGGAAAGAAAGGATCGCGGGGAAAAAACACGCCAATCAAAGTTACGTCGGTGATGCATTCGCATCGGCGAATGGAATGTTAATAAGACGGATCCACGAGAATAGGCGAATAGGGAAAGGTTCGAAACTGGCGAGAGTTTGGAAGAGGAAGGCCACCCGTTCCGTGCACTTCGAACGCATTGTGCACGACCGTGCTCTCCCTGCAGCATTTCAACGATTCTTTGCCTTGGATAATAAAGACGCTTCCCAAAGACGTGGTTCGCGTCGAGAGAAATATTTGTACGATCTGGTGTAGGGCCAATAGGTGTATAATAGGTACGTGTGTACCACGAGATTCGATTGGGTGGCGAGCAAAACTTTCGACGTGGATGGAATGTTATGTAAGTATTACGTGTTATTTGTAGGATAAGCTAGAATTTTACGATTATTCTGTGACAAAAAGGAAGATTTATATTTATTTATATTTCCAAAAAAAATTAAATGTAACATCTGGAATGTACTCTAGATTCGATCTGATAGAAAAGTATACAAGTAATTTGTATTTTAATTGTTTAATTTTTAAAATTCAATATCTATCGTGAAGTTCGATGTAATTGCGAATAGAGTAAGTATAAGAAATGATAAATGAGCTAAATAGAAAATTCTTTAAATCTATTGCTTCCGTTGAATTATTTTAAAATTCGAAGATAACTTATCGAAAAAGATGAACAGCCGATTGCGCAAAGAGTTCAGATACGATGTTAAAATTGTTCGAGAGAAAACGAAATATTTCATTGTGTCTTTTATTGATTCTGCCTAAACGTTACACCTGTGTTAAAAGTGAAATCGACAACCTGAAAAACGTATGAATTTACGTATGTATTATTCTAAGATCTTCAAACCTGTTTCTTTTCTCTTTTTATTTCTTTCTTTCTTTTCTTTTTCACAAAAGGAACTGTTAATCAAAATTATTCTTGAATTTTTATTTTTTTAAAATAAATAGGACTGGATTAAAATAATAGGACTGGAAAAAATTAACTTATCGAATAAAGACTAATAAAAATACTAATAAAAATAGTTAAAGTTTTATTATATCTCAAAAATACGTATTATATAACGAAATAAACGCTAATTAAATTAAAATATAACAAAAATAATTTTAAAAATTTAGAAAACCTTAGAACCTTCTCGAAGAAGTTAGAATCCAAAAATATTTTAAATTAAGCTTATTTTTTTATATCGATAAAAATTTTGAAAAATGATTTATTGTTTATTGAAAATTCTAATATTTACTTATTCTATGTAAATATAATTACTGTATAAAATAACATTCAGTTTTAATTGGATTCAATTTATTTTATTGAGATATGGATTTATATATCTCTCAAAAGTTTCACGTACATTTAATTTAGTTTTTATTAAATCAATCCTCGATGCACGATAACGAAAAGGGAATGATTTTGTGAGATGAAAAAATAATTGACGTATATAACGAAACACAATGATGAATTCTAATTGAAGTCTATGGCGCAGAAGTAATGAATTCTTTTAAATCGAATAGAGTTTCGAACGAGAAATGAGAAAATATTTTTTCCCGGATAATAAATTATTTTTATTTTAACTAATTAGATCATAATTGATAATAATTCAAGGAATCATGAAGTAGAATTTTGTACATTTAATGATTTCCGTATTTTCCGTAATTTCTGAATTGAATTGAATTTGATTTTTATTTCATATATTCGATAAAAATGAAACTTTGAAAAAAATATTATAGAACATGAAATTAGAAAATAAAATTGTAATATTCTGATCACGATCATTATATTCTAACTATTAAATTATTCTATGATAAAATACAAAAAAAAAGTGAAATTTTATGTATTTTTTTCTTATATTTATTCGAAAAAAAAAACTACAGTCAAAAAAATAATTCACATAAAAAATCACGAGAATCCCAGAAACATTAAAAATATCAAAATTTCTATCCACCAAATAAAAATTCAATCAATCTTGGTTACTATATTATCTAATTTACCTTATTTACCTAAAAGTAGACATGAACTTTCCGGATAACCTAACACACTATCTCATCGCCAAAATACGGATCAACAGTTAAATCAACTCGACTTTACGACGCGACGTTAAAGTTTCCTCTCGATAAAGAATAACCGTGCACGAAACACAAACTAAGTGATACTTAACTTCAAAGCTCCATGAATGCATACAGAATATCTATACACAACATTTATGTGTAACATAAAGTATCGTTTATCATTCGGCTCAAATCAAATATTTCGATATCGGTCGGGATGAATGAATGTTTTGCGGTTGAATGAACCTCAAAATTATCTTACAACCGATTCACTTTCGATCTATTATTGATTCGTTTTCGATTTAAATATCTTTCGCAAGTTTCGAGAATTCATCGAGCGAATGTTTCTTATATTCTTCAGATAAAAAAATAAATAAATAAATAAATTTCCTAATAAATATTCGAATAGATGATTGAGAAAAGATTATTACAATACATGAGGATAAAACAAAAAATCGTTATTCAAAAATTCCTTTCATTCAATTCTTCAAAATTAATATCTGTCGTATTCTAAAACGTTTAACCTTTTATACACCGACATTCAACCGCCTTCAATCTCGCACAACGAGCCGCTTGTGCGTTGCATCGATAAGGCGGTGAGCGGAAATGCAGAAGCGAGCGAAGGTATAAGCAAGTGGGTAGGTACTCACGGACTGGTACTTTCTTCGGGTCGACGGTGGCGAGACGTTCCTCGACCTTGTCTATCCTTTGGCGCAGATTGCTGCTCCGATCGGCAACAGCGGTCAACTCGGCAGTCAGTTCCGCAAAGATGTCCTCGGCGATGGTGAGAAGCGAGGCGAGTTGCTTCAACGAGGTGGTCAGCGCACCGTTCGCTACCGCCTCCAATTCGGCACCCACTGGCCAACCCTGGGCTGTCGATCCCGCTGGCACGTGTCCGCGACACAAGAAACGCGGCTCCACTCTGCGTAGCACGAACGGCATGATTTCTCAAACGAAATCAACCGACACATTCACACATAACACTAGAACCGAAAGAATAGGATTTGAAACACTGTCGTCTCGAACGCGAGACACCGGTCAACCGTCACAAGTTCGCGACGCTTATAAAACGATCGTTCCCGCCAGTGATCCAACCAAAAGAGGGACATCTGGCGGTTATGAAAAACGAGACTCTTTCCGATGAATATTGCGGCTCCATTTTTAATATTTTTATTTTAAATAAGATGATTCTCTACAGGCACTTTACACTTAATTGACAATAAGACACTGTTCTTCCATTCACTTCCGAATCATCGTTCGAATCTCTTTCTTCCGAATCGCATTCTTTGGATAAACGATACGACTCCTTGGCGAATTAACGCGAGTTTTATTTAAACGAGAACCGTGAAAATGAATCGTTTTCAAATGGCAATAACACTATCGATGTATTTTTTCGTTATATAAAGTTTTGATTAGGAGTGTCATACTGCTAGGAGATCCTTGTGAAAGAAAAGAACGATGAACAACACGTCCGTACGACGCGACGACGATACACGAAGTGCCGGCCGGTCTGCCGCCGTGTCGCCGACCGTTCTTTGGTACACTCCCATTCATTTCGAACGCGCCGATGGCGCCTTTTACGACGCTTCGTATCAGCCATCTACAGTGATTTTCTTATACTAACGAGATCTAAGCGAGATCGATAAAATAGTCATAAAAAATTTTTTTATCGATACATGATAATGTCCACGGAAAATAATGACTTTTTTTTTTTAAATGAGCAAATTACTTGTACTTGTAAAACTTAAATCAAAACTTTCAATTTACTTTAAATCTAAATAAATTAAACTAACCATAAAATAAATTTTAACACGAACTACGATTATCGAGTGAGAAAAGATCACGTCGATTACGAAGTACAGAATGAACACGACATCTTACGGAATTTTATTTCTTTATTCTGAAATACCGACCTGTTTCTGACACTTTCTATGATATAATCAATATAAAAACTATATTCAGTTTATCTTCGAAAAATATTTATATATATATATATATATGTTATGAAAAAATTCACAAGATCTATCTTATCTATCCTTTTTGCAAAAATTTATTTAAAATCAATGATAAATTTTCCTTCTAATTACAAAACGTTCAATCGTTGTTACAACAAACAACAAAAAAAATTCTAAGGAAAATCAAGACAATTTAAATCTAAAATTAAATTATCTTAATAATTCTATAAAAAATTTTACAAATTACTTATGTACATATCGATATTTTATACATTCATTATCATGAAAATATAAAATATTGATAATTATGAAATTAAAGAACCAAAGAAAATGAAATGTATTCTACACAGAGTTAGATGTATTTTATATTAACCACCACCACTTTTAATACTAATATTATTAACACATCTATGTATCATGCATTTATATTTTAAGCAATATTTCTATAACAACAATTCTATAAGCCATTTATTTATATATTATATAAAACATATATATTTAATTATTTCAATTGGTTATAGATTTATGTATATAACTTATCCTACCTATAAAAAATCTAAATATATTTTTATAAAAATCTATGATTTAGAATTCATTCTTATAGAATGATATTAATATAAAAAAACAGAAAGATGTATAAATATGTATTTTCATTTCACAATAGTTTCTGAAACAAATAAAATTACAAATAATTATTAAAATTGCATAAAATATAATTATTTATTAATTGATGATTTACTCAAATGTCACAATTTCTTGAAATATATAACTGGAGCTTTCTGAAACAAACTTAATTGAAGTATTAGTAATGTTTAAAAAAAAAAAAACTGAAACATTAATTTCAAATAGTAAAAAAATAAATTTTATAATGAATATTCACCATTATTAATTTTAAAAAATTTAATAAAAAGAATTTAAAATTTATTGTAGAAAAATTTTGAAAAATTATTAACCAATAAATAAAAACAAAATATACATACCAATATTTTTTGCAACAAACGCAGAATATAATAAAAGATGCTGAAAAAGAAAAGAATTTAGTAACCAGAAGGGTTACTAAGATAAAAATATCTTCCATTCGGTAACGAAACGTTTTTAAAACCACGATGAGTGCTTTATTATATTTGCAATATTTAAGTTGATAAAAAAAAAAATAAAAAAAGAATTAGAAAATTCCCGCAAACAATGAATTATTTACGCAATACTACTACTCTATGCACTCAAATTTTAATACCGCAATATAATAAACGCGAGAAATCCAATGCAGTCTCCTTAATGACTGCTGACATATCACTCTTGCAGCTTTTTTTAGCCACTTAAAGTGATTCAGAATCAGGAGTATGAATATTTCCACAATTTCAGTGGAAGAAATTTGGGCATTCAATATTCGCAACACTACTTGAACAAACGCGATTATTTATCAACGTAATTGTTTAAAACAAATTTAATAAAAATAATTATTTTTGTATGACTAGATAGTTACTATTAAAATAAAGAATTTAATAACAAATGGTATAAATATAAATACTACTTTATAAAAAATTATAATATAGAAAAACCGCGATATCTCATAATGCCAACACGATTTTTTAACGCATCTGACTAATAAAGAAGCGCAAAAATTACGACGCAACTCTAATTCAACCCGTTATTGATCAATCGCAACACTAATAAAAAAAATCGCGATGCCCATGATGACTGGATCAACGTTGGGCCAGCATGCAATTTGGCCAAGACGATACAACATATACTACGTATTACTAAAACGAGCACAATGACAAAGTAATAACAATGACTTCCCATTCTTTGGACCCAGATAAAATCCAAAAGATGAGAAGCCATTCGTTGCAGCCCCTCTTCGCGACAGTTTGTCGAGGCCTCTTCGATCTTCCTCCTTCGGGCGCAATGCCCGCTGAAACTTAAATCTAGGCTCGAGATTCACTAATCGCAAATCAAAGAAAAAAAGAAAAAAAAAAGGGACTAAATCGCGGACGCTAAATGCACATGGACGACCAACGATCGCAATGATCATTCTCCGAACATGCACAGAATCTCGAGCGCAACGTTCGTTTCGAAAGCAAATCACGACCGCGACCGCGAAATTCGAAAAATCGATGAGCAAAGCCAGAGACGAATGGCACTATCCTCCATTCGTCTCAGCTTCACCCTCGATTTCTCAAATTTTATTCCCTGAAACAGGTTGTCACGCGAAAACGCGCCTACCCGATCAGAGACTGTGACAACCTGCCCGGCCCTACCTACTTATAATTAACAGACATACCAGAAGTATACTACCTATCCTACCTAGTCCTATATTTAAAAAATGGCAAAACAGGCATACCAACACATTCATTCCACGATTCTCACGCATAATACTCGGGCGCAAAAGCCTACACTAGGGAAAGTGTCCCGGGACACCTCCGACACCCGAGCTTGGCACACTACTCTCATACTCTAACTTTACGTACCATTTTCCTGAAATCGACTGACGATGGCTAGCGATCATTGCGTGAAACGCGACAAAAACGTGTGTATCTACATTTTAATTCTGAATATTTATGAATATGTAATATTTTCTACTAAAATATTAATCACCAGACTAAACGATATCATTATTGTGAATCAAAATTGTATCATTTTTATAATTTAAGACTAAAGATTAATAATCTTGTTATTTATTAGTTATTTACAATATTTAATTGCGAATGTGATTCTAAAAAGAGATTGAATAGTGAAATAATAATTGAAACGACGCAATTCCACAGCCTAATCACACACACATAATGTGGAAAGTACGTCGTGCACGATACACTAACGCATCGCCAGTCGCTAAAATTTGTATTAACTTATGAACTAAGGTCATCATACCCATTGCCTCTCCCTCACTCAAGTAACACCTGGGCACGTGAATGAGTTCCTGGCAGTGAACATGGAAAGGGTTAAATCTGAAAATCCTGAGCTAAAAAGAAATATTAGTATATCCATTTTGTATCTAACGGGCTAATATTCTTTGACTTTGCATTATATTCTTATTATATTTCAAATTATTTGTGACTCTACTTTATATTTTATTTTATTAATTGAACAAGTTATTGAAATTTTAGTATATTAATTTTTAATATTGAATTTAAAGAAGAATTAGAATTCATTGCAATTTAAATTAACATAAATATCAATAGAAATACCCTCAGGCGATTCCTTCATCAGAGCATATTTTCAAAGCTACAAGAATAGTATTCAAAACTTATTGCTCTAATTCTAAAATCTGCCTGTCGCGAAATATCTTCTTGCACAAAATTTAATTCATATTTGTGAATTACGAAACGAAGAAAATTGAATTTTACTGTTTATAGATGTTGTAAGTCATATGAAGTTATTATTATATGAAATTATTATATAACAATAATCAAATTTGATCAAATAATTTAAAATGTTATTCTGAAGAATTTCGAATTATAAAAATTCAAATTAATTATTGTATTATGTATTGTATTAATACAATAATTATTATATGTTTTGACATTAGAAAATTATTAAATATTATTAATCAAAAACGCGAAACGCAAGAAGATTCTAGCCTAAACTAATAAATAAAACACAAAAGAAATAATTGTTACTACTCACGGATATTATAAATAAATATCCGCGGTCATTGTGCTCGTGCAAAATTCTACGTATACAACCAGTCATCCGTGTCGATTCGGATCTTTCATCCTATGACATGATTGAATGACCGGAGGAACCAAAAAGCATGCGACTCACCATATAATGCGACGAACGCCTTCATTGTGTTGGAGCCCCAGAAGTCATCGAGAAGAAATCTGTGACAAAACATCATCAATTTAAAACACGATTCTCTTTATTCAAAGAAGTTGAAATATGAAACTATTAAATTTGCAATATGATATGTATTGAAATTCTAATTAATTTCTGTTTGAAAGAATAAAAAATTTAGATAGAAAAAGAGATAATTACCTCTTCGCGTGATGTATGATCGCCTTATTTTCTTGAGAGAAGCACTGATTCTATCCTGTACCGAAAACGAATATTCAAAAAAAAAAAAAAAAAAAAAAGAAACCATTAACGCGTTCGTACATAATTCTGTAATCGGCGAACAAGCACTGATTCTAATTTCGCGTATAATTATTATAATTAAATTTAATTAAACTTATTGTGCTCTAAAAAATATTCAAAATACTGTTGCGAAGCAAACACTGATTCTACTTAACCACATTGCGCGTGGTCACAAATATTTTTTAAGATTAAAGTCCAAGAAAAACTTTCATCAGCATCTGCAATAAAAAATAAAATATTCTATATTATTTTTTCCTTAAAAATATAATATTCATTATATTTATTCATTATAATATTAAAATCTTGGAATAGTAAAAAAATATAACTATATTTAACTTTAAACTTTAATAAAACAAATAGTTTAATACAAAAAATTAAGTTTCTAATAAATTTTAATAATAATAAAAA